CCTCTCTCTCCCAGATAATTAATTTCTACATGAATTTGCTGATGGAGCGGAGCAAAGAGAAGGGCTTGCCGGCGGTTCATGCCTTCAATACTTTCTTCTTCACCAAATTAAAAACGGCGGGGTACCAAGCCGTCAAACGGTGGACTAAAAAAGTGGATATTTTCTCCGTGGATCTCCTCTTGGTGCCTATTCATCTGGGAGTGCACTGGTGTCTGGCCGTGAGTGCTTTTATTTGTGGTAGAGGCTCCTATAAACCCACCTGGATGAAGCTAAAACATCCTGGCTTTGGAGTTGATGTATTTTTTTTGCATTGGAGGGGGGGAAATCAGTGTTGGAGCTAAATTTCAAGTTTAGAGCAAGTAAAAAAAAAAAATAGGTGCGACTTTTTGGTGTGTTTCTAGTCTTTAAAATAAAAAAAGACAGTTCTAAGGTTGCGTGAGGGCAGGTTATTCTCTGGAGAAGGATCTCCTTTCCATGTTCTCACAAATTCACCTTTGAGATGTTGCCACGGGCTGGTTTCGGGGAGATTCTGGTGACAGATACCGTGGGTTTCTCTGCCTCCTGTCCCCGATTTCCTCCTGTCCCTTCTCTTGGCTGCGGCACCAGAAGGTGTGTGGCTTCTGCGTCAACCTCCTGCGGCTCAAACCCCCTCGGAGAGCTGCGAAGGTGCCCCAAAAGGTGACTCTCTCAGGAGTGTGGGGTGGAAATGGGGCAGGGATGCCCCTTTAAAACCACCTGGAGTCCCTAAAAGCCACCTGGAACCTGCTGAAAACCAGCTGAAGCCCCCCCCAAAAGCCACCTTTGGGGGGGGCTCGTGTCTCAGACTGCTCGGTTCCATGCATGTCAGGCGGAGCGACGCCTCCGTAAACTGATCCATGAGGCTCTAAGGATAAAGATAACAGAGTGCTCTTGTGTTTTACCCGATTTAAAGATTTCTGTGGTTAAAGAAAGCACGGCAGGTTACAGGGGGGGTCTGTTCTGAGGGTGGTAGTAGCCTCCTGAAATGGTCTAAAGTGGTTGAAATGATCTAAAGTGGCTTCTTCCCATGGCCTGGCAGAGGGATGAGCACTTCCGCCCCGCCCCACATTGTGCGGTGTTTAATTAATCTCTCTTTTTGTGTAGGTTGTTGACTTCAGGAAAAAAACCATCACCTATTATGACTCCATGGGGGGCATCAACAGCGAAGCCTGCAGGATACTGTTGTGAGTAATGCTGTGCTTGTTTTCCTCCCCCCACTTTAAAAATCCAGCCAGCTTCTCCTTTCCCTCTGGAAGCCACAGCCCTTCCATGGGAACAGCCCCTTTCGGGGTCCCGAGAGGTGGATTTGGAGGAACATCCCGGTTTTCCCTGCTCCATCCTCCCAGAAGATCCCTCAGTTGGGGCTGGTGGTACCTCCGTGGGCATAGACAGGCTCCAGACCTGTTCTTTTAAGGACATCAGGGTTTACCAGCCTTTACAGAGTCGTCCTGGGCATCGTTTTGGGGAGGAAAACGGCATCTTGGACCCTGAGGGTCCTTCGGGTCCTGCAGGAGCTTGAAGAAAGACATCTCTCGGCCCCTTCCTCCTGGTGGGAGCTTCTCCCTGTGGCTCAGGAGCTCGGCCATTTCTTCCAAGAGGGAGATTCTGGAGAGTCTGATGGGTGCAAGAGTCTCTTGCATCAGGATAAAGGTTGGCATGGGTCTATTCCCTATGGAATTCCAGCAGGGCCTTACGGGCTGGGGGAAAACCATGGTTCTGGGTTCAAACCACAGAGGGGAGACCTCAGTTTCCCCACCCTGAGCCATGGTCCAGGACCTGGGGTCAACTCCAGGCTCTGAGCTGCTTCCATGGCAAATCCAGAGCTATTTTCCCTTATTTGGAAGCCACTCCTGGATGAAGCGCAATGAAAAATGAGCTACTTTCTGGGCAGGGCTGAAAAAAAACCCCACCTTTTTTTGGAAGGTCCTTTGTCACTCGGAGGCATCAGGCTGGAGACGGAGGAGATTACGGAGCCATTTACGGAACGCGGTCGCTCCCAGGTCGCCCTGGGGTCGAACGTGGCTTCTGTTTCTTGTCTCGGCTTCGTTCTTGACACCGATTTTTTTGAGGGGGAGGGGAGGAATGTTCACGGCGCGGGGCTGAGCGTGTCAGCGGAGGTGTCACTCATTTGGGTGAGGAATGTGAAGGAGGAGACAGACAGACAGCAGAGAAATGCCATTTTGCGTCCATTTAGCACCTTCGTTTTCCAGTCCAGGTGTTTCGCAGCCTGTCTGCGGCGGGTTCACTTAAAAACTGGTAAAAAAAATAGCTCTTTTCCCTTTTCTGCGCCGTTCTGTGTGTCTAAAGGGAGGAAAGGGAAAGGAGAAGGATAAAATCTCTGGATCTCCTGCCTTCGTGTGTGGTTTCTCCCTCTCTGTGTCTGAGAGCGGAGCCCACCTGCCCTGGGGAACGCTCTAGGTGAAACCCCTTCCTTTCACAGACTGACATGGGGTGGGAAGGGACCTCTGGAGATCATCTCCTCCAGCCCCTACCCAGAGCAGGGTCACCCAGAGCAGGTTGGATTCATCCAGGTGGGTTTGAATGTCTCCAGAGAAGGAGACCCCACCACCTCTCTGGGCAGCCTCTTCCAGGGCTCTGCCACCCTCAAAGTCAAGAAGTTCATCCTCATGTTGGAATGGAACTTCTTATATCCCAGTTTGTGCCTGTTCCCTCTTGTCCGGTCCCTGGGCACCACTGGAAAAAGACCAGCCCCATCCTCCTGACCCCCACCTTTGATGAGATCCCCCCTCAGCCTTCTCTTCTCCAGACCAAAAAGCCCCAAGTCCCTCAGCCTTTCCTCATCAGAGAGGTGCTCCAGCCCCTCATCATCCTTGTAGCCCTCTGCTGTCCCCTCTCCAGCAGTTCCCTGTCCTTCTGGAACTGGGGAGCCCAGAACTGGTCCCAGTGCTCCAGTTGTGGCCTCCCCAGGGCAGAGCAGAGGGGCAGGATGACCTCCCTTGAGGTTCTCCATGCTCTTCCTGATGCCCCCCAGGATGCCATTGGCCTTCTTGGCCACCACATTGCTGGCTCTTGGGCATCCTGGTGGCAGGATGGTGGACCCCAATTCAACCCCAATTTCTTTGATTCTAAGGGAAAAAAAAGAAAAAGGCAACAGGGACTTGGGGTGAAAAGAAACAACTGGGAGGTGAGAGGGGGGCACTCAGGACCTCAGTGCCTCCTTGAGGGGTCTGGAGTGAGGAAACAGGTTCCCGAAGTGGTGAAGAGAGAGCAGGAGAGGACACAGGGTGTTGTGGCAAGTGGTGGAGAGCCGGGATTTCAGGTGGTTTTTGCCCTGGAGGTAATTGTTTTCCCTCTGTTTCCTTTTAGGAGGCTTTTAAATGGTTGAAGGCAGTGGGAGGATCACACCGGGAAGAAGGGACGGAGGTTCCTATTCATGGTTAGTGACCCTTTGGTGCTTTCAATCTTTAGAGCTTCCTAAAAGGCGGTGAGCGGAGGGAAACTGAGGCCCCCAGGGGAAGGTAACTTGGGCAAGTACAAGGGCCACCGGCCGGGCTTCAGGGTGAGCAGGGACCACGGATGGTGGTGGTATGGTGGCCACCAGCAGGTTTCAGCAGCTGGGCTCTCACAAAACTTGGGGGTGAGACCTGGGGAGGATTTTTGAGAAATCCTCTGTTTCTCGGGTGGCCTTTGAGGCCCTTTCTCGGGTGGCCTTTGAGGCCCTTTCTCGGGTGGCCTTTGAGGCCCTTTCTCCAATTTTTAAAACCTTGCCTCTATTTTTAGGGGGGTTTCTCCATGGGAAGCCCGATGCTCGGTACCTCAGCTCTTCTGGAAGGGTCTTTTTTTTTGGCCTGGACATAAACCAAGCTGTTAAAATGAGTTAAAAGACAGATTTTAGCAGACTGAGGCTGGAGGAAAAGCTTAGGGGATAGGCCACGAAGTGACTCACGCCTGAGAAATATTCTTATCTCCCGCTTGAAATCCTTACCTTTCGGTGCCCTAAAGGCTTCAGGGCTTTCAGATCTTTGAGGGAATGCTCTGGAGTTGGTCTTGAGAGTTCCCCAAGGCACCAGGTCGGGTTTTCGTTGTGTCTGTGTGATTTTAAGTGAAAGGCAAAAATCCATTTTCGGGTTTAGGGGGACGAGGTTAAAACCCCTGCGGTGTCTGAGGGGTTTTGGGCACGTCAGGTTTCCACCCGATGGGTAATTTGCGCTTAACGATTCCCTCTCGGGCTTTTTACTCCTTGAGGGGGAAAAAAGTTCAGCCTTGACAAAGTTGAGCTGAAGTTCTGTCTCCTCAAGTTGTGATTTTAAGTTAATTTAAGGCATTTTCTTCCCAGTCCCCTCCGAAAAGGTGGGTTGGGCCGATACCTGGTCTTGTGGTGTAATTTTTACGCGACGTCTCTAATGTTTACCGATCTCTGGGATTTTAGGAAACCACAGAGGGGATGGTCCCAGTTAACACAACCTCCTGGTGTGGGTTATTTCCTCGCTTTTCTAGAAAATAACTCAAAATTGCCCAGTTTGGCTTGTGGTCATTGAAGATAAAACCCAGATGAACGATAAAATAAAGCCACCTCTACCGCCTGCAGAACAGAGCGAACCCTGGGCTTTTATTCAAGCTGTGGATCCAAGCGGGTTCTGCAGTAGGCAGGAATCACTCAGATTATTTTTTTTTTTTTGCAATTAAAATGAGGCTGTTTAATTAATTAACCTTTTCCCCACGCTTGTGGCAGGGACCGTCTGCTCCCTCTCCCCCCCCCTCCCCTTATTTTGAACCCGTTGCGAGGAGTTTCTTCCAGGTTTTATTTTTGGAGATGGGTGATGGAGGCTCCTCGTGCTCCGTCAAAAGGGTTTTATTCCTTTTTTTTTTTTTTTTTTTCTCTCGGAGATTTACCCCCCACTGACCTTGTCTTCTCCAAACTGCAGCCAAGCAGAGCTTCCCCAGAGCAATTAGCGCGACCGCTGGCAGCCGGCAGCCCTTGGACTGGGGGGAACTGGGCTGGGACTGGTGCCTCCACCTAATGAAAGCTGATAGAAAACGCTTGTCGGGACCTAATCTGCCCTTGGGGAGGGGCTGCCAGGAGGGAAACCCCCCCTCCCTCCTCGACGCTTCTACCTCCAAAAAAACCCTATTTCTGGCTGTTTTTCTAGAGGTAGGATCACTAGGAAGGGGCTGATTTCGCCTTCAGAGGTGGCAGGGTCATTTTGCTGCCACTTTCCTCAGTGTCCCCCGGGTGTTTCGGGGACTTTTCAGCCCAGGAGAGTGTTTTTTGGAGTAATTCTTCACGGTTACGATGGAGAAAATCCCCCGAGGGACACCGGGGCAGCAAGTTCACCCCCTAAATCGCCTCTGTGGGTCGCGTCGCTCCCTTCTCCCGGCGTTTACTGACAGCAAGATGTGATTTTTGCCAAGCCTTTGTGGATCAGATTTCCTGAAGATGGCACGTCTCCCCATGTTGGCGGCCAAACCCTCCTCCTCGCCTGCGCCAAGCGCTCTCCTGACCCTTCCATCCCAGCCAGCGGCCTCTAATCCCTTGCTTTTTCCTTTCCAAACTGTGCTCTGCTCGTGGCCACCACAAGCGAGAAGGCTCCTCGGGCTCTTTGGAGAAGGTGCCAAAGGTGGAGGAGATGGTTTCTGGAGATCTTCCCTGTCCTTTTGGTCCCTGGGATGAGCCTGTGGGGCTGAATTGTCACTTGGTGACGCCATCAGCCAACAGAGAGGGGCTTCTTTAGGGCCATTAGGAGTGTCTTGGGCCCATCTCCTCATCTCCTTGGGCTCCCTTGGGTCCACCTTTAGGTCCATGTCCTCCCTGAGCTCCCTTTTCCATCCTTCCCAGTGGAGGGAATGGTTCAAGGTGTTTGTATCTGCAAAGGAAAGCACGTGGATGTGCTTTGGGCATGGTCTTGGGAGAGGTTTTTAAGCTTTTTCAAGACAGGAAAAAAAATCCATTACTTTCCTGTTTTCCCAGTGGGACAATCGAGGCCAAACTGGTGGAAGCCTCTTTGGGTGGAGGAGATGGGCTGGTACCCAGGAGCTTTCTGTGTTCTCCGTTTCTGGGGGATGGCTCTTCTTCTGCTTGAAGGTTGTTTGACATCCCACTCCCACCAGGGCTGGGTCCTTCTCCCTCTTGTGCTCCCTGTTTGACTCCATCCCTGTAAAAACATCTCGGAGAGGACTCGTGTGGCTCTTCCCGGTGCTGCTTCTCCTCCATCCCCAAGCCTTGGACCTTACTGGAGAAAATCAGGGCCACCTTCCCCAATCTGCCTCTCCTTGAAAGCACTTGCCATCTTTTTCCTGCTGTGGGGAGGGACCGCGTCAAGAGGGGAAGGGAAACCTTGGGAGAGGAGCTCCAGGAGAACATCTCCCAGTGCTTGAACCCCACCCTGGCTTGGAGAGGAGCTTCCTGGTGGTGGGTTTTTGACGCTTCACACGCAGGACTGGGATCCAGAGCTGCTGGGGCACTGGTACGGTGGTGACAAATGGATTCCCATCTATTTTTATGCTCAATAAGATCCTCCAAAGAGGAATGGAACCCTTTCAGAGACGGGGTGCAGCTCCTGGAGCTGGTGGAGGTGGCCCCTGTGGCTTTTCTCGGCCGCCAGTCGCTCTCCCAATGAATTAAATTTGTTCTCGCCGGTTTATTTGTGGTTTTGAGACTCTGCTTGGCAGGTACTTTTTCTTGGATGAGTTTTTCAGTCCCATTCGGTCCTTCTTTGGCCCATCTCGAAGCCCAGTTCTAATAGAGCCCTTTTTAAAATGGCCAATACTGCGAGGAAAATATTGGACTTCCATATATTTTATTTTTTTATTTGCATTAATTCTGCAAACACAGCAGAGGACGTCTGGGGTAAACGGACGTGTGGAGTTTACTGGTTGGTTTTTTTCTCCTCCC